CAATTTGTCGTCACTCTTCGAGTCCTTCCTATCTTTACTTGGAATCTTCAACTGTTTCTACGTCTGGAAGCCGATCCTTCAGTTGTGCCACATGTAAAACAAACTAACTGATTCAATTGCGAATTGTGTTGATAAAATTGTGTTGTCGGAACTCTTCAAAGCCACTTTTATACACGTAATTAAATCTCCGTGCACCAAGTGGAAAAAAATCAACATGGCGAACCATGTGAGGTGTCTCATATACCCCATGTTATTGCTTCACTTTAAGTATACTAATTTAATACGACAAAAATTTCGGCTGTCACAATATCGATTCTTGTTCCTCAAGAGATAAGAAAAAACAAAATAATAAACTCTTTAATCTTTTAAAACGATAAGAAAACAAAAATAATACTATATTTCTGACGAACTTATGAATTTAAGTAGTTTAAAGGAGGGTATATAAAAATGGCCATTTTTCGCCTAGAACCGACACCTTTTAAACCTATAAATTTATCATTTTGAAGGTCCAAACATTCATGAAAAAATAGTTATTTATCCAGGAAAGTTCGGGAAACCTTTTAAAAATAATGAAGTAGGCTGTTTGATCGCTTTGCAAAAAAACTTACAATGTTTCATGGTCCAACATGTGTTAAATGTGTTAAATAAGTTTTTTTGCAAAGCGTTCAAACAGCCTACTTTATTATTTTTGGAAGGTTTCCCGAGCTTTCCTGGGTAAATAATCATTTTTTCATGAATATTTGGACCTTCAAAATAATAAATTTATAGGTTTAAAAGGTGTCGGTTCTACACAAAAAAAAGTAATCTTGCAATTATAGCGAGAATTATTTAGGTACGAAAAATTAGCTAAAACGGATGAGTGATTAGTAAGTATAGGCACTGCTATATGTTTTGTATTTAATCAATATAGATAATAGAGCAGAAATTATATCTGAACTATTTGTCAAATTTGGCAAAAAAGTTCCTCTATGACGTTTAATCAGTTCAGCCTCCAATCCACACTCCAATCTTATTTGGTTATGAGACCTATATTTTCTTGTATATATTCTTAGAATATTGCTGCTATAAATTCTACGTATGACAGACAATTTTTTAACAGATACAAAAAAACAGCAATGTAATTTAAGTGTAATATTTAGAATTTTGGCTGGAACAGCGAAATATTTCTCTGAGTGTAGGTGAAAAATGGTTATTTTTATATGCACTTTCCTTTTGCTGGAATATGTCACGCTCCACCTAGTGCACGGAGGGTTAAATTTCTTTTAGTCTGCATATATTTATGCAGGTATTATATATAAAGAGAGAAGTGTGAAAAATTAGGAAGAAAACAGGTGGGTCATATGAATAGCTTGCGAATGGTAATACTATGGCTACTCCTTTATTCACTCATTAGCTCACATAGAAGATGCGTACATTATTATACATGCTGAGCGATTTGAATTGTTAATTGAGGGCGTATCTGCAAGTCGAGCTTGATACTTCGAGCGAGCCTGAAATTACCACGTGCCGGTGGATCGCATATTGCGCTCGAAGAAACAACGTGCTCGTACTCAGGAATATTGGAACGCTCTCCTCTTCCTCCCTCCCCCTCCCTCGAGGGGAGAGGTTAATGTGAAGGAGTGAGGAGGGGACGGTGCACTCTCCGGAGCGGAGTGTTGAAGGCGGGAATAATGCGATGGGAACGAGCCCCGCGGCCGATAGCGGACGCGGCCGCAACACGTGAAAATGGCGCGTTGCACGACCCTTATCAGACGGGCCCATGATTTATAGGCGCGCCGCGAAAGAGTTAATGGAGGCAAAATAGCGCGCGCGGCGAGCACCATGAATCCTTCCGTATCGCCGGGCACTGTCGATGGTTCAGCGGTCCGTTCGACGCGGCCGCGCGGTCTCGCTTCGCTCCGCTCCGTTCGCTCTCTATCGCCCGCCCGGATCTCTCCCTGGAGTCCCGAAATGTTCCCGTGGGAATATCGCCGCGCGAGGCTCTGGACCATTTCCAGCCGCGAGCACACACTCCGCCGCCTGTGCCAATTAACACACCGACGGCTCCTCTGATCGCGGGGTGAGGGGGTGTGCATATGGAGCGATATTGTTGTTTTGCATAATATTAGGTCTCCCGATCATTTCGCGCGTCGTTATATCCGCAGATATGTATTTCAAAATAAGAAGTCGGGAAAAAGTAAGTGGCACAACGCAATTAGAATCGTACGTGAAATAAATCTATAATTATATATACGCGGAAAGAACGATTTTGCTGGAAGCTCTAAAAAAAAGTTTGCTGCATGGATATACAGATCTGAAAATGATTCTTGTTGGATGATCAAAATATTTTTTTTGGAAAATTAAACTGATTGCTAGAATATCAAAACATTTTACAGCAATCCTTATCATTTTTGACTTTCCAACAAAATTATTTTCAGATCCAAATTTTTTTATTTTCCATCAAAATCAATTATTTTCGTGTGTAGAAATGGCTTGTGTGTACAGAAATATGTAGTACCACCGTTTCGTAGATGCAAAATCACGTTTTCCGCAAAGATACCTAACGAATTGTCGTAAAATTGATTTCTTTGATCTCGTCCAATAATACTGTCATATATAAATTTCATCGTCGATAGTTAAAGCTAATATGGTCGCCAAGGGTATTTCCGTGCATTTAATCGACGTTCGAACGCATGCAAATTCAGCGCGAAAAGAAACTTTCGATACGTAAAATTAGTGTCCTGTGTAAAAAGGATGCGTTCCTCTGCCCGGGAGCTCTCTCGCGAGTCACGATTCGCCGCACGATCGCGAAGTTTGACCATTAAACTTCCTAAGCGTGGTTTAGGGTCCCCGCCGGCGAATTCGCACGCGCGTTGATATTGGTTTCACCGCGCTCGCTATTTAAACTTCAGATGCTCGGTTAGCCGTTTATTGCTTTTATTACTACGATTATTATTAGTGGCAGTGGGTATGCACCGGAAGGGGGAGGAAGGGGAAACTGTAAGGGACTGTGAGATACGGTCGGGTAAAATGACTTCCTAAGAGGCGGGCAATCTCGCGGGTGTGTACACGGTACAGGCTGCGGAGTACGTAAGCTCGACGTCTAATCGAATCATATTCGATAAAAGCGCACCGTCGGAATTTATTGGACTTTTCCCCTCTTTTACTGCGCTCTAATTGAATTCGAATTCAATACGCTACTCGTATAATGATAAAAAATGATGAGAGAGGACAAGGCGTCCTGTATCGCGTTTGCATAAGTCAAAGTTTGTCTATAACAATAAATTGCCCTGACAAATTTATGTCATCGCAGTATTGCAGATCTGTGCGAGATATAAAATCCCTTGCTACTATAAATAACGATCTCTGCGTCGTGATAACACGGTGATGTAGGTACACAGAATTGTGTAATATAATATTCTCTTTGTAAAAAATTTCGATAATTACAAAAGGATGCGTCATATAAAATCATATATAAATTAATCTAGAGTTTTAAAATATATATTTATTATATGATTAATCCGATAAATTTTATCTCCGTTATGTGCATCAAACGTTTTTATTTCTGTTACGTATTATTTTTGTGCGTATGTCATATTTCAATTTGTCTAAGGCGATAAATGATTTATCCTTATTACGTTATATTCATCAGTCAGTGTGTTAATTTCGTCGCGTGTTAACCGTATTGCGCGAAACGTGCCGCGCTTATTACATATATTTATCCCGCATATGCTAATCTCGCTACATGCGTGCGAGAAGTACGAGCAGTGGCTGGGACGTATTTTTATCAGCGCGCTGACTTTATTATATTTTTGCCGCTCTATCTGTGCCACGTGAATGACGCGAGTAACACGAGCGAGAGGTTTTTATAGCCGCCAACACATGGCCCTAGAAACTGTCCGGGGAAACCCAGGGCAAAATGCGGTAACGAAATAGAATCCGGGTGGCATGTTATCGTATTTTATGTCACCCGTATTCTCGACCACACTCAGACGCCTTGCACGGAAGCGGATATTTTTAACGCCGCGGATTCAGAAGCAGGAATTTCCATCACTTGAATGTCATTGCCCTCGCGAATGTTTGATCGATTTCCCGCTATCGGTTTATCGGAATACATACGGCCCGTGTCCCCAAAATCAATCATCGTGGCGGAAAGAATAAATTTAAAAGGCCTGAAAACTCGTCCTTCTCAAAAAGAATGGGCACAATCTCGGGGGGATATATACTGTAACACGAAAGGAATAGTCGATTCTCTTAAAAATAGAGCGGAAAGCAGAAAGGAAGTGTGACAAATAGTATAATTAATACATCGCAATAGATATCTTAGAATTAATCGAAAGCGAGCACAACGTTGCCTTGCGAAATTTACACAGCAAGAAACATTTTGTATATTTATGTTAGAAACAGTCCACTCAAGTTGTTTCTTAAAATTTTGTGTTGACATTTTTAACATATTCGACATATTAATTTAACATAATGTGATTATATTATTTAAATATTTTATGTTAAATTGATATTCAACATTTTTTAGTGTCAAAATAACACAATTTATGAGTAAGCGAACAAATAACATAAAAATAATGTATTTTAAAACGTAAATTATAACACGAATGAATAAAATACGTGTTAATTTAACATATTATAAATGTTAATTTTATCGAAAAAAATATGCTCTCACAGTTCGCTTACAAATTGTGTCAGTGTTACATTTTTTGCATAATTGTAATTTTTTAATATAATATTTGTATTACTTTCTAACATATTCATCTTGTGTTAAATTAACACAAAAATTTAAGTTTGGACCGTTTGGAACAAATGAAATGCGTTAAATACAACGCAAATCTTTCAACAGTGCAGAGTGAAAAGATTGAATTTTGCGTGAGAAATAACTTTATACTTATGAAATTATAAGCATTATAAACTTATACCTATTATATAACTTTAGTAACTCGTCCTTTTATTAATTCCAATTCACTGATTTCAACAAATTAAATGAAACATCGCTCCTGTTTCTGTTTCAGCTGTATCGTCACACGTACCTGGCCCATTACAGGATCGTGAACCTGGAGACTCTGTAAGTAAACGAGCCGTGTTCTCTTGACGGCGTTCGCGACAATCATATCTTAAATTTATTCCGCGATTTCAAGTTCGGATTTGCATTTTAATCTCGAGAAGAAGGGGAGAGGGGGCAGAGAGGTGAGTGCCGGGGGGATAAAGCCGCACCGTGCCACGTGCAAATTACAAACTGCGCACGAATTTAATCCCGCGCGCCGTCTTACCGTCGTCGCCACCTTGCCCACCTTCTTCTCCTCGTACCGCGTCTGAGAACTTTCCCTCGCGGATTTGATCATTAACTCAGCATTTAGAAGCGGTTATATCACGATTACCGGGGGCCGACCGTCGACGGTTTCGCTCTCTTCACCTCGACCTTCCCCCGCCGCCGCCGGCGGGAAAAAATTTAAAGCTGTCTTCCGAGGCCCGAAACTTATTTGCACGGCTGCACTTTTCGCGGTATCGAGACATTTGCTGGCTCTGCAAAGACGGGACAAATCGTGCCTACCTTTCCAAGGGCTTCTCTCCATTTTAATTCCTTAATTTCCAGCAGTATTCCCTGCGGCTTACGCTGAGAATTTCTCTCTCTCTCTCTCTCTCTCTCTCTCTCTCTCTCTCTTCCTTCCCCATTGTTGCGAAATAAATACCCCGTATTTTGATGAATCGTCAACATAACTCTGATTTATGTATATTAATTAGAGCCATATTGAAATTAATATCAACAATCCATTTAGCATCCCTCTTGTTAAATTATTTGTGCATTTCGCTTGCCCATATTTAACTGTTTATATATATATATTTGCTTACTCGTTAGTTTGATGTACATATATTGATATTGATATAAATATTATTGCTACATTCTCTATATATGCTATTTATTTATGAGTAAACATATAAATGTTTTAAATTCTCTAATATACTCAACATACACAGAATACATAAATACGTATAAGATATATCTCGAGTGCTCGCGACTCGCCGGGCCCGCGTAAAGAGGCACGGTCGGAGTCCGGCGCACAGCCTCTTTAGCGCCGAGACACTACCGTGTCTCATGATAATAAAATCCTTTTAATCGATTAAAAAAATTGTTTATTTTTATAATTAAGATTTAAAAATTAGCACAATAATCGAAGATATAAATCCGCGATGTGCCATGAGTTATCATATTCCTTTATAGAGAAAGGAGTACGATTCTTTTATACATATATTACTCAAACTCCATCCGTAGTTTAAATCATCCGCGAAACTAGGTCGCCTGTAAAGCTCGCAGAATTTCGAAGACCAATTTCTCACGATCGCGCGAGACCGCAAAGACTTTCTCGAGGTGGTTCCGCGGGGAATAGCGTCGTCCTCGGGAATAGCGGATACCTGTCGTTCGCACTCCTTCAAAGGAGTGCCCGATATACCTTGAGGTTTATCCACGCGAAAGCGCGGGGACTGCTAGATCACCGTCCGACAGCCGAGGGAGCGCGATTCCGCGAAATTTCGCCGTTATATGTATGTGCGGATGCCCGCGGCCCCTCTTCACCCTCGTTCCAACCCCCTCCTCCCCCCCCCCTCACAAACGTCGGGCAAATCTCACGATTTGGACTTTACCGTTGCGCTTGAGATCATCGTTCTCAAATAGTCGCGTTGATCAAACCTCAGTCCGCCTCTGAACATGATTCGCAAAGGGCCTTCCGTCATCTTCGTATATACGGAACGGCTGTTTCACGGTTTAACCGCGCAACCGCTGCAATGAGTGGACACACATGCCCTTTGCTACTAAATAGTTTGAGTTTCATCGCTGGCTTTTGGGAAAAGTCGAATTTTAAGATGAAATTTGGGAATGAAATTCGGGAATACCGTCGGATTATTTTAGAGTTTCAGTTTTGACGTGATTTTACATAAGAAAATTCGAGGATCTAAAATCGAGAGTCTAATTAATTGTTTGGTAAATTTTCGTAAATTTCCATAAATTTCGTATGTATTTATTTCTTTGGAAGTACGCAAGAGACTGCATTACAGAATAAAAGTGATAATACTAATAAACGCAAGAGACTGCATTACAGAATAAAAGTGATAATACTAACATTTGCATATGATCGATAACGGTGATAATACTAACTAATATTTGCATATGATCGATAATGGTGAAATTGTTATAATTACATATATGTTTATAAAATAATAATATCAAACAAGACCGATATATGTTGTATATACAACAAATAATAAGGGGGAAAGAACCAAATTCAGCCGAGGCCAGATGTTGGTTGCTCAATAATATTCTTAATTTTTAAATCTTTAAATTTCAGCTATCGCAAATAGCGCAGATTACTGTCGATCTTTAAGAACGCAATCATAAAGCTGAAATATTATCACAAATTAAATTGATCGTCAATTCGATGACTTGACAGTTTTATGATTGCATTCTTAAAGACCGAGAGTAATCTACGCGCTGTTTACGATAGCTGAAATTTAAAGATTTAAAAATTAAGAATATTATTGAGCAATCAAATATATATATATATATATATATATATATATATATAATTGTATATAAAATATAATACAATAAGTAAGGGGGAAAGAACCAAATTCAGCCGAGGCTAGATGTTGGGTGCCCAATAATATTCTTAATTTTTTAATCTTTAAATTTCAGCTCTTATTAAGGAGGAAAAAATATATATATACATATATATATTCTCTTTGATATCTGCAGACGCGTAAAATAATTTATAAGATATATATTATATATATATATATATATATATATATATATATCTCTTATAAATTATTTTACGCGCTGCAGATATCAAGGATAATCTACATTACAAGGAGAATATATAGGCTATTATCATAAGCGAATGAAATGCCAAATCGTCCATTTTATGATGAATTTTACTGCAGACAAATAAAATCCATTGTACGGCTGTTGCATCGCCCTCTATCTCCGACAGTGGTTTCGCGCGGGAGTGAAAAGATAAACGCGTATTCTTAGGAAAACGTGAAGATATACCCTGCCTCTGACACATATATCCCCCCGCAATAGTACGCGTCGTAATCTTACGTTATACGTTGCGTGCGTTTTGACATGAAGAAGCGATTTTCCTCGCGGAGCGTATGCCGCCAGACACTTTTCGGGGGACGTGAAAAATAACGCTCCGGGACAGGCGATGAAATAAATTTCTTACGAAATTTATGCTCATTTGCATTTGTATTTGCAATACGTATCCGTTTATTCGACACAGGAAAATGGACTCGGGCCAAGACGTTATACTTCAGGCACAGATAAAACACTCCACTCCGCAGAGTTTCGTTTTCGTAACTGTAATATCGTATCGTTACGTGTGTTCGAAATCTCCCCAGTTGTGTCGTACGAAACACAAAAATTTAAAGTTTGTATATATGTACAATTATTTTTGTTGCATGCTAATATCTCGATGGTGCCGCCGAAATCGAAGTAGAATCTCCCGTGATATTGATTTAAAAAGATCAAAGATTAAAGATTTAGAGATTATTTTTTACTTACATAATATATATATATATATTTCTTTTAAAAGTTTAATAATGAAAAATTCAACATTTATTTTTCTGATTAAAATTTATCTCTTCTATAGAATCAGATCTGCAAAAATAGTTCTCGATTTCGTGAAAGTAAATCACTGAGATGACTAGTTTTAATTTTAAAGTTTTCCCCACGTAGGTATCTACTTTTTTTCAGATGTTGGAAGTTTTAAAATTATTTTGCAGCGCGACGCCTGCGAGAGCAAAGTCCGTGTGGTACACACGATTTTATCAAAAATGCATGTGTCTCATATCGAGTTATTCCCGCGACAAAATAAACCTCAAAAGCAAAGCGCATCAAGTGCGAAAGTTTTTTTTTTGCGAGAACTTCGCAACAAATAATAATAATAATTCACGCGTGGCACCAATGACGCGGAGAACAATCGGAAGTAGGGAAAGGGGAGGGGGGGGAGGGATAACTAAACTCACCGTCGTTTTTGACTTTCGGTGTCGCGATAAAAGGCAGAACGAGGATACACCGGCGTTCGCCCTGGGGCGAAGGCAAAAGAGCGGGAAACGAGAGCGGGACGGAAAGCGCGCGAGGCGGGTAAATAAGCCGTGAGCGTTACCTCGCCTATATATCCCGCGCCAGGCGAGGCGAGGCGAGCGAGGCCAAGGCGAGCCCTGTCCCGCCATAAACCCGGTTTGTACGCCGCATGAATACCGGCGCCCTTTATTTATGGCTTTTCGGGAAGAAGTTTGCCGCGACGGGACGACGAGCCATCCCAGCGACGACACGGCAGTCAACGTCGCGCCTTACTACGCTTCTCGATCGATTTTCCTCGCGGCCCGGCCGGCTGAACGGCGACGCGGACGAAAACGCCCCGCGGGTCGTTGCGCGAATTCAACCGGAAGGACCTCTCCCCTGCGGATTTTTCCTGCGCGCTGGTATAGAAGCAATCGAGCGGCTCGGTGCAGCGCGACTTTGATCCAGTTTTTTTTTTTTTTTTAAAGAACTCACGGACATTTGTCTCGAAACTCCACATCGTTTAATCCCGAAATCCGAGAGAATCTCCGGTCTCTGATAAATACGGAGTAATCCTCACCGTGGTTTTGCAACGCTTCTTCCGAAGCGCGAAGCTTGGTTTGAGGCGTAGTTGTTAAAATAATTACGCTTTTAATGCGCGGCACGATGAGAAGTATTAATGACGATAATAAGGATAATTAAGAACATAAATCGTGGATTATTGATAATACAGATATTGTATACACGGAAAAAACTGATTTAACAGCATCAGAGTGGAAATAATGTCGTTAATTTAATAATGGCATTAGTAAAAACAAGTACTCGTTTCATTAAAGCGAGAGCACGACGGATGGAATTAACGAGATTATTTTCAATTTAATTAACGCTGTTAATACACATTATTTTTCCCGTGATAAGCGATAGAAACATTGATTTCGCGGAGTACTCGTAAACTTCAAGCGGTATCCATACGCTCCCCTTTTCCCACGCGTATATATGTGTGCGGTCACACAATCGTAAACGTGTTTGTCTGTTCCATCTGTAATCCCAGAAGCCGTCACAAAATCAATTTCGGAATGCGCGACGTGCTTTTGGTTTATATCCGAACGGCTCCGGATTTTACTGTCTACAGAGAGAAGAGAGGCTCTCTCTCCCCTTCCTCGTCCCATCCTACGTTCCTCGCTCTCGTCCCGTCCTCCTAAACATTTCCTTCCTATTCTCTACCGAATGTGCACGTAAGTGTCTGTATGCATCTGGAAAACGTATCTGAGAACATATGCATCTGCGCGGGCACATATTGCGGCGGCGTAAGATAAAACTCTCATGTTTCACGATATGTTCGAAGTTCTTTATAGATTGGAATTTCCATGGGATCAGACTTTCATAAAAAGTACCGAATGCGGTGAGAAAGAGAAGATCGTTTACAAGTAATAAACATTCAAATTCCAAAGTCTCCAAAGATCCGTAAGGAAGAATAAGGGTCGCTCGATTAAACGAAAATTCGTGAAATATTTTGATTTTAACCGAAGCGACAATCGACAGATTAAAAGATTGCTTGATATAACCGGACGGGATAAAGTTAAATTTGACGTTTCACGAGAAAAAAAAATTACTTCCGCGCGATTATTTAATTGATCTACCAGAATGGAAGCGAAGATCGTTCGCAAGTATAATTCTCATTTAAATTCCAAAGTCTCGGAGAGGGCCATAAGGAAGAATAAGGGCTGATTGGTTCGCTCGATTAAACGAAAATTCGTAAAACATTTTGATTTTACCGAAGCAATAATCGACGGATTAAAAGATTGCGATATAATTGGACGTGATAAAGTTTGATGTTTCATGAAAAAAAAATTATTTCCGCGCGATTATTTAATTGATCTACCAGAGTGTTATGCGATAGCGGTTCAGTGACTTCATTCGTTTCCTCCCGATAATGTATTTGCCAATAGTTCGTACGCGAATGGATTCCGATAGTTTTCCGTATGCAGCGGAAACGGACGTTTGCGGGGAGTTGGCAATCTGCCATACATCAGAGCCCTGATCTCGATTTTAAAACTTTTATTCGAAAATGGATAAAACTTTTGTCCGAAATGACAGTGAAAAAAGAACAGCAATGGCGAGCACGTGTGCGAGGAGGACACGACGCGTCGCGTTGTCATTCTCTCGTTCATTCCCGTCGCGCGTCGCGGAACGTCTTATTGTCGGGCGGACTGTGCATCTTAATCCGAGACGTTAAGAAACCGAAGTGTCGAACTTCGTCGGTGAAATCTTTATGACGCGTGAAGCGACGCGAAAAGAAACCTGTGTAGATATATGTACGACCAAAATTTCGGCGCCGACCGAAAACTGTACGTATATATATTCATAAGATCTACGGCTTTTGGTGCTCCGCGGGTAAACAAGTGGCTCTGGAATGTTTTCCGTCGATTTACATTGTCTACATTGTAGGATCGACAATGATATTTTTACGAGGCGCGAGGGCAAAAATCAACTTCCCTTTAATCGGCTTTTCCCAAGCCCTTTGTAAACAGCATCTACCTAATCGCGAACGAGCGCCGGAGGTCTTCAAGTCTCGGCAGAAATTACCTGATGAAGATTTAATTACGAGTAAAATACGGACATTTGAAAAAAAAATTTAAAATGTTTATTCCACTATTTTTTTAGAGATTGCACTTCAATTTATTTCTAATTTACGAAAATCTTAAATCGTACGAAAGGAACGCAAAACAGAACAAGATTGAAAGACAAATAGAAATTAAAATTGAATCAAATAAAATGAGGATTACGGAATTAAAATGTTGTAGGTAACATAAGAAAGAAATATGTAAACACGATAATGTTCAAGGGAGGGATTCCAATTTATGAAAATCTTAAATCGAAAGGAGCACAAGACAAAACTGAAAGAAAAATAGAAATTAAAATTGAATCAAATAAAATGAGGATTACGGAATTAAAATGTTATAGGTAACATAAGAAAGAGATATGTAAACACATTAATGTTCAAAGCATTATACAGTATAATACATTACTTAGTTTTGTACATATTATACTCCTTGTAGTGAGGATCTCTATATCATGTGTATAGTTAATTTTTAAGTCTGTATTTTCGATACTAGAAACTAAAAATCGTTCCGGGATCTCGGACGGAAAGAGAATTGACCAATCATTTGAACAATTCAACCAATGCGATTAGTCAATTCTCTTTCTGTCTCAGAGCGATTTTTAGTATCATGGACAGTGGGCACTTTAAAGATCAATCTTCAGTCTTCAGTGTCTTTACTTCCACGAATGTCCCAGAATGTCCATGATCCATGAAATTGGTTCAAGATGTTTTAAAAAATCTTTTTTAATAATTAATAATAATTATTATACATAAATATTTTTATTGAAGGATCCATTATCATGTTTTAAGGGATTACACCACCTTGACCGCCTAAAAATCAATCCGTAACTTTGGGAATTTTTTTTAGGAAAACAATAAAAGCAACAAAAAATTCGTTTTAAGGCTTTAATAATACAAGTCTTTAGAAATAAAAAATATTTTTTTAATTAATTTTTTTAGCAAAATGGCGACGCTGAAGCCAATTTATTAAACGTCGTTTTGTCAAATCGGCGTTGCGGGGATCTGCCATTTGATTAAACCTGGAGCAAAAACCAAAATTTTTTAAAAACTATATAATATGCACTAAAGAAATACATACGGATATTTCGATATGTTAAATACTTTTTTTTATTTAACATTTCTTAGCAAAATTTTTTGGCCGAAAATGACACTTTTTTTTCAAATGTTCGCAATTTTTATAAAAATCTATATTTCAAAATATCCATATGTATTTCTTTAGTGCATATTATATAATTTTAAAAAAATTTTGGTTTTTTGCTCTAGGTTCAATCGAATGGCAGATCGCCGCAACGCCGATTTGACAGTGGCTACAAAACGATGTTTAATAAAATGGCTTCAGCGTCGCCATTTTATTAAAAAAATAAATGAAAAAAATATTTTTTACTTCTAAATATTTGTATTATTAAAGCCTTAAAACGAATTTTTTATTACTTTTATTGTTTTCCTAAAAAAAAATTCTCAAAGTTACTTATGATTTTTAGGCGGTCAAGGTGGAGTAACCCCTTAAGGATTATATACCATCGAATGGTAGATTTCCGGCCATGTATTTTAAGCAAAATTAAATTAAGTGTTAATCGATATCTAATATCGATTTAAAATGAATATGACGGTTGTGTTCTTAAGTTCATTGCTGGTAGTGCTAATATATAATATATAAAATATATCATATATAACAGGGACCATGAATTATAGATTTATACGTTTTATACGTATTTTATACGTTTTTGGCGTATTTTACCGTAAAAAATCGTAAAATGTAAAAAAAACCCTAAAAAAACCTAAAATAACCCAACCCTGATTCAAAGGATGGATTTGATATAAAATTTTATCGCGACGGTATTGAAATTATTATAATGTGTAACTTTGTACTTATTTATGTCGAACAATAACTCAATTAATGTACATGTTAACACGATAAGAGACAATTTATTACAGCAATAACATACAATTTCATAATAGTCTCTGTCGTGCTGAAAGCATCAATAATATGATTTTCTACACCGTATAGTGTTATCAAAATGCAGAAACAGTACGCCGCTAATACATCCGTTTTCGATGTTAATTGCATATCTGAATTACAGTAATTGTTGCCCCGAGTAAATTACTTATTCGACATTTTATTCGATCGTTCCCTCGCCGCTGATAATCTCCCCCACGCCGTTGTTTGAATTTCGAACCGTTGACGAAGAATTTGTGGCCCGTATTACGTTTCGTGCCGTGCCAAAGCCACCGTGACAATACGGTACGCCGGTATAGTTATGCGGGACTATACCTTCTCCGGGGTTGTCCGGCAGTTTCAAACTGGAAATCCCGCCTAAAATCATACCGAGTTACGGCATTGTTCGAGCGGGACACAGTGACGTCATTGTTGGTTGCAACCCGATCGGTCACGAGCGCTAAGCAATAACAACGCGGACGTGATCCCGACGGCGCTTACATCGTCTTCTATATCCGTCTCAACTTCATAAACCCGAAATTTCGATACCGAGAGCCCCATTGTAAGCGCATCATTTGTCCGACTGAGCGAGACGAGAGGGGCTTAGCCAAGAAATCGCGGTTTTGACGGAAATTACCTCGAGGCTGCAGTCCGAATCTCTCGCGCTTTTGCGGTCCCGTATTGCGCGTCTCTTGCACATTTTTTCATTATCTCGCGGATAGTTTCGAGAAAAAAAGTTCTCGTAAAAAAAAAAGTGTGTCGTGGCGTTTCATCCAACGGGCGCGGGTACATTAGCGAAATCAAAAAATACAAAATATATGAGATGTTTATACTCGACGCCGTGCTACTTAACATTATTTCGCAGCATTTTTTATTTTTTAATTTAAAACAATGATGTGTTTGTATTGTGCGGATGTGTATGTATGTGTGTGTGTGTGCGCACTTTACTACCTTACCGGCTTCTGTGCCGTTCTTTCTTCTTTCTGCAATTCTGTTGCCAAAGTAATAAAAAACGCTCTTGCATTCGTAACATTTTTACTGTAACCATCCGTCTTTGAAAGCACCAACGTCTTTCGGGAGATGCTGACTGATGAACTTTTTATTTACAGCGAGAAAACGTGAAATAGGAAGTTGCACGAAGGAGAGAGCGGCGGCGGGCAGCGGGCACGCTGCTGCTCGGCTTGTTTTTTTTTTCCCGGGGAAAACGTGAAAACCGCGAGTGTGCGGTGCGGGTCCGTCTTGCGAAAAAGCGCGGGCTGCAACACACAAGAAACTACAAGTCGTTGTTTTCACTGTATTAAGGAGAGAAACGTTATTGTTACGTTTTCTTCTTTTTTTTTTTTTGCAGAACGGAGACGATATTGGCGGCGAACGAGTCGACGCCGCTGCAGCTCGCGACTTGGGCACCGCGCGGCAACGCCCTGATCTACGTCCATCAGAATAACATCTACTACAGACCGGAGGCGGAGGTGGCCAATGACTATCAAATAACCAGCAACGGAGTGTTCGGAACTGTTTACAATGGCGTGCCGGACTGGGTGTACGAAGGTAAATATATATATTATTCGATATTTATATTTTTATACATTTTTTCCGTTACAATTAATTAATGTTTTTTTTTATGACAAATTTTCCGCGCGGAGGAAATGCTTTAAAAAAAAACACATGTGGCAGTATTAAAAAAAAATACTCTTCTCTTTATTAAAATGTCTCCTTTTTACGCTCTTCACCGAAAAGTAATGCGCGTTAAAACCGAATGAGAGAGATGACGAGAGTTAAGGATTATACGGATAACAAGTCTGTGTCTAAGCGCAAATCTCTCGCGTAAAGCCGATATATCGCGGCTGAACTTCTCGCGCGACCGAACTAGGGTACAAAAGGGTATTTCAATTCATTGCGCTTGTACATGTATATGGCAACAATTCAGCGAGTCACGCAATATTTTTCATTTATCCCTTTGAGGGATCTGTTTCTACAAAGCGTGCAACAACCCCCGCTGGACCGTAAAAATATTTTATTTATTTTTTTTTTTTATGAAACATCCGTTTAAAGCGGAGCTGGCCTGCAACACAAGCCGGGAATATATGTATACAAGCGCGATATATGTAGCGATGCGTTAAATAATTCGACGGGATATTGTCCGCTCTGTAATTTCGTTTAACTGAAATACGTGAGATTAGAGGAGAGAGAGCACTCCCTTGTTGCTGTGCTTATGCCGCTCTTCTCGCCGCGCTGAGTAATAAGAAATTAGCTTTATGCTAATGGCTAATTAGAAATGCAAATTGATACGAGGCTCTTACCGAGAAAGAAAATATTTGCAGGTGAATTCTACGCACGTGCCGTCTCCCCTCGTCGACGCTTTTCGTCAAGTCTAATTCACGCCGGTAATTAACAGTTATTCCTTAGAATTTTCCATAGGATCGCATATATGCAAGAAATTAAATATTGTTTGTTAACCTTCGGTTTGTCGCATCTTCTTTTTCGATCAAGTTCATCATTTGGGATCAATTTGTCGTAACCAATTTTTAAAAGATTGCCATTTAAAAACTAACAGTTTAATTGGATCGCAATAATTAATTTTTAAATAGTATTGGAATATTGTAGAATATATATTCTACATTCTACAATAACATATATATATATATATATAATATATATTATTATATATATTATAACGCTTTGCCTGTAATTACTGCACACAAGATGCACAAAATTTGAATTCACTTACTGAACAAAAACGAGGCAATAAATGAACTTCAATTGATTAATAGGCAAATAACCTCAATAAGCAAAAAAATCTGCTGCTCATGAAATTGGCAGTTTTGTTCTAGTCATATTTCGTATTTTGTGAATGAAAATCAAATCAAGTTCTTGTCCATTTTCGACGCAGTATTGTTACAATTAATGGACATAGTAATACTAGATTGCAGTAACTGGATAAGTGTCTAGGAAAACTGCATTTCAACCAGGGAATTATTCTAATTATATAGAATTTGAAATTAAATTGAAAAAAATTCTTAAAGGAAAATAAGTTTTGAAAAAAAAAACTATTTTCCAAAGTAAAAAGCTGGAATCATTTTGTCAAGTGTGACAACCGAAGGTTAAAATTAAATGTATCGTTTTTACTGAAACCGGAATCGAAGCCCTTAAAGCAAATATCGCGAACTCTTAAAATATTGTCTACTAATTAAATTTACAAGTTACTGTCTCGCGCGAGACAGTAATGTAGCGCGACGCGCCCGTATAGTCAGCATTGTAATCCGCGTGGCCGATGCTCCTGGGGCCGGCTCGCCCCGCGTTTGCATATTGCTGAACCTTCATCAGCCATGCCCTTTTTCCCACCGCCGCCGCCGCCGCCGCCGTTGCCTTGTCCCCTTAGACGTCGCACCTCGTTTTACCCGCGCGGCGACAACGGTGGAATCAACGGACGGGGGGAAGCACATAAAAATTCATCAGCATCAATCAGGGGAGTAAGTCCGCGGACGCAACGTGAGAGTTTGACGGGTTACGATCTCCCGCTTCCAGTAGATTTAGTTTCTATATCCCGAGTGTGACGCCCCCGTCACGATGAATATGTATGTCGCGGCGATAATAAATTCGGCATCGATTCCGCGCGTGAAAACACATACAACGTTGAGAGACGGAGAAAGCGGGAGAGAGAAGCGGTGATAAAAATAACGTACAGCTTTCCAATTTGTTTCAATCGCATGAAGATATATATACCCACAGCTAATTCGATTGAAATTTTAAAGACCGCATTATTTGTCACACGTCATTTGTAAAATATCTGTGCGAGAGCTTTGAAATTTCATATTATTGAAAGAGATTTTATTAATTAACCAGTCCCCCTTTTGAAGTCACGCGTCGCAATAAATGGGTCTTTGTCATCGTACGCCGGCAATAATCATTCGGATGGGAGGAGGGAGGTGAATGACGATTATTATATTGCACGCGCGATTGTTATTGCCGTCCTGCTTTTTCGACCCGACATAAAAAGCGCTCGCGGCTGTGAAAAATCGCGTTTAGCATCGCGAGATCCGCGGGGATAACCGAGTGAATCGACGGGCGCGCGCGCCTATATTTAAAGGGATAAACGCGGCAAATTGACCGGATTCATAACGTCCGTGCTATTGGCAGCTGCGGGGCGCAGCCTGCATGTCCTGTCCTCGTTGAAAAGCCGGAAAAAGGCCGGGGCCATGATTTAAAATGCAGAATTGCACGACGCCCCGGCGCTTTTACATGTACACATATTCGGCCGATTGCCCTCGCAAGGCCGACGCGCTGGTGTTCGGTCCTCCGTCATTCCGGATGCCGACCGACATCCGGGAAGAGATTCACATCATATTTATTTCGCGCGCTCCCGCGTTACAATCATTGCGTCGGGAATTTTTCAATTAACGACATTGGATTTTCAACAGCGTCCATCGACAGCGCAGCAATTCCGTGTTTCGAAGTTTTTTCTTTACGATACACCGTTAAAAATGTTCGGAAAATTTCGTCAGATTTAAAGTACTGAAGTAACTTAATTTTACGAAATTCGGCTGCTGAAAACGAAATTTAGTAACATTCAAAGCAAATTTACTAAATTTCTTTTAAAATTCTGATTATCATAGAATTATAAATGGTTTTTTTAAATTACTAAATGGTAACGGAAATTCCGATACTGTACCGCAAAATTATAAACGGTTTCTTAAAATTACCAAATGGTAATGGAAATTTAAGACATCGTAACTGGAAGAAGTTGTGCAATATATTCTGCGCAGCTTTTGTCCAGTGTACTCGGCTGCTTGTGGAAACGACGTTCTTCCGCATCAAGCTCACGGATGGAGAAAGGTGAAAGCAAAGAATAATGATGATAGAAAGGATAGTGATGATTTTAATATATAATGCTGCTTATATTATTTATCTTCTTGACATATAAATAATAAAATAATACGAGCAAAGTATGTTTACACAAATAACTAAGTGCGTATAGATTATATGCAGTATTCTCAATGCATTAAAAGAGATAGAAAAATTTTTTTATCGATTTACTCAAATATAACTCTATAACTATAATTATAAAATACTTTTTGACTATACATTTGATATATTGAGCATACTATATAACACACGTTACGTATGTATGCAGTTGTTTGCATAAACATACCTCGCTCACATTGTCTTACTATTTATCAAGATAATTATAATCTGCATATATGTTAAAATTAATTAACCGATAAAAAATTTTTTTTTTCATTTTCAGTTACAGTTACTGCAAATTACTAAACTGTAACGGAATTTTCAGAGACGTATGACTAAAGCTTTATGCAGTTTCTGTTTCTGAAATTTTTATTCCCGTTTAGTAAATTTCAGAAATGGTAACTGCACAAAGCTTTAGTCACACGTATCTCAAAATTTCTATAGAGATTTCTAACAGTGCACTATCCTTTCTCTCTCTCTCTCTCTCTCTCTCTCTCTCTCTCTCTCTTTTTCTTGTTATTTTACAATTTTATTGCAGAAATTTTTTGGGAGGCGAAACATGACGAAATATTTGGAGATATGAATCTGAGAATGTTCAAATAATACGGGTCGCTCGAAGTTACAGTGGATTATTATAAGTATAGGGGAAAAAGTCGAGGCTTATTCACGCGGTTTCTCTCGGAATTTGATCCTTTAGCTTCTCGCCATTGCGCGATCTTTCGCACAATCGATTCGGCGACCGGGCCGAATAATTAAATCGCGCCGCCTATCGCACGTCCCATGATTGATCTCTCCGCACATCCCGGCGGGTAGATGATAGAAATTGTTTACGCATCTCCGTTGTTGATTTATTGCGAAAGTTGCGGGTGAATCGCGTCGTTTTGCCGCGGTCGACGCGACCCGCTCCCGCGTTTTGTTTTCCCTACCGGAAGTGGGCGCCGCAAATGCGCGAGATCGCGGTGGGATTCTACGGGGTAAACTGATAACTTCGTGATATATCTGCACGCAGATGCGATATCAAGGGGACAAACGAAACAACGCCGCCGGTCGTCCATTTTCCAGAGTAGACAGAAATCCCGGCGATCCTCTGGTGTTGTATGTTATACGCGCCGGGAAGGTCAATAATGAGCGTACGCAGCGCGAGAACGCGTTGCATTGGCGCGCGCGTTCATTTAAAATCACGCGCATTTTAAAACGGCACAAATGAGGATATTCGTTGAATCAAGATATAATGAACCGCGTAAATTTTAATGAACAGGACCGACAGAGCGTTATGTATTTTCAGGAAAATCCGTTCGACAATCCGCGCAGCCTTGTATCGCGTTACTAATGATTCATCCATTTCGCAATTTAAATATATTAAGATAACTGCTATTCTAACGAAAAATAAAACGAGAGACGCGTTACAGTGCAGTTAGAGAAAAGATTTATTTACTCGAATCTACGAAATTACAAATCATTTAATTAGAGAGAAATTATTGACAAATCAATTATTTAGCAATTTATTAAACTCTAATAAGAATAGTAAAAATAATTTGTAATTTCGTATTTGTAATTTAATAGATTTGATAAGTTAAATCTTTTAT